GAGAGAGAGAGAGAGAGAGAGAGAGAGAGAGAGAATGAGAGAGAGAGAGTGAGCCTGTGCTCAAGTTACATAGTAAAGTTCACTGATACTTACTGTCTCCTTATTGGGAAGTAACTCTTTTCGGATCCTGAAGAAGTTCTTTCCATACTGTCTGAGCCCTTTAATGAAACGTTTCTGCATGAAAACAAAAATAGAATGTCAGCAGAGGGAGGGGGGAATCTCACTAAACAGCACAATAGATAAAAGTTCCAGCTTAGGGACCATTAAACATGTATAAATATACAGGTAAGTTCCAGGTAAGTTCCAGAGAAAATGCAAGTTTTCCAGTTCGGGCCTAGTTCACTATTGGAAGCATTTAAAAAACAACCGTGTCTTTTACACAAATCACATCAGCTATGTGTTTTTGTTTGGAGGCCTTTAACTGCAAGCTACTGATCGATGTGAAAGTAAACGTGAAAACTTTCAGAAGATTTCCAGCTTCAGCAGGAGGAGGAAAAGATGAAGAGAAGAAAACAAGGGGAGAATTGCTTTTTCATCTTATGATCCTCAAAAAGGTAGTTACTTTAGCAGCTGAGCACTGAAAAGGTTAAAAACCTCCTTCCACAAGCAAAGGATCCAGGCTGCTTTGAAAGTTAAAACAATACAAAGGCTGATGCCTTCAGAGTGTATTTCTTCCAGGAAAAAGGAGCATGCCGTTTCACCAGCTTTCCCCCTTCCAGAAATGTAAGAAAGCAGCAGCAGTTTCGTTTCGAAATCCAGAGCCGCGGAATCTTCCATTCACTTTTGCGAATGATCCACTCGGGCAAGCCTTTAAAAACAACACGGCGGCGGCAAGACACGCCGCTCGCGCGCCGGCCCCATCTAGCACTCCTCTGCCGATTACTCCGGTCAGACACTCGCCACCCCTTCCAAAACACGCACGAGCGACGGACACACAAACGGGGGCAGGCAGAAGTGCGGGTGGAGGGGGGGGGTGGCGAGTTCACGGCGCGGCTGAAATCCGGGGGGGAAGGAGCCGAAAAGCGGCGAAGGAAGTTCTGGGGGGGGGGGTCTCCAACTCCCCCCCCCCCCCCGAGACACACGCGCGCTGGACTGCAGGAACACGGCACGCACGCACCTGGAGGCGGCGGCGAAGGGGCGCCCTCCCGCGCCGAGGGACGAGGCGCAACTCCGAGGCGAGGCGAGGCGAGGCGGCCACCGAGGCCACCGCGCGCGGCTCTCTCTTTGGCGCTTCCCTCGCCCAAGTGCGGCGCGGCAGCCAATGCCGAGGCTGGAAAAAGCCAGAACCTGGCCCTGCCTCCAGGTGGGGGAGCCTGCCCGGCGCTGGCGGCGGCGGCGGCGGGCGCAGAAACCGCTCGTCACCCGGGAGGCTCTGACACTACAAAAGCGGAGCGGGCGAAGGAAGCGAAGAGGCAGCGGCAGCCGCGGCGGCGGCGGAACATGTGATCTGCGCTGGGCTGAGCCCAGAGAGCGCGAGCGAGCGAGCGAGCGAGCGAGCGCGGAGAGCCACCGGGCGCGCCGCAAAAGGCGGCCTGGATCACCTCGGCGCGGGCCCGGCGAGGCCGCCGCGGGTTCCGCGCGAGGCCCTCTGCCGCCGGCGCCACGGCAGCGGCAGGGCGCGAGGCCACGATGCCGCCGTGAGAGGGCAGCCTCCCCGGGGGGGAGGCAGGCTGACCGCCCCGTGCCGCAGACGGACGGGCGCGGAAGGGGAGGCCTTCTTCCACAGGGCAGCGCCCCGTCCCTCCGCCCGCGAGTGGCTCCAACCCCGCTCGACTACAGCGAACACTCACCCCGGGGCAGGCCGGCAGTGCCCTCCTGACCGATCCACCCAGGAGAGGAAACGCCAAGCAGTGGGTTCTCTGACTTGCAGCCAACTTTCTAAGCCGCCGGGACAGAGGGGCTCCACTCTTCCAGAGCAGATTAAGGCCTTAAACAGCAAGGCATAGGCCAGCCTCTCAGCAATCTGGTGCCCTTCCCATTGTGCCGGACTACAACTCCCATCACTGCCAGAAATGGGAGCTATGGTGCAACACATCTGCAAGGGATACCGGATTGGGGGAAGCAGAGATATCATGGGTGGGATTTCTTGCTGGCCCACAATGATGGCCCCTTGGCTTGCCCGGGCAGTTTTTTCCACTCAGGTAGAGGCTGGTAGAAATGCAGAACCCTCCGTCCTTGAGCGCCGACATCGAGGGCAGTGTTGTGGCCGGCCAATGATCCTGGGGCTTTCTGAACAGCCCCTGGAGCACAGGGCTTGGGCCATCCTTCAGCTCCTCACAGCCAGCAGGGAAAGAACCACATGAGTTGCTTTGCTGAAGTCATCAGGATGACCCTGGAGAAGCAGGAAGGGATCGTTCCAGGAAGCAGTGGAACAACCACTCCTGAAATATCCTAGCACTCCAGTCTCATTCCCTCTATTCCAAGTGGAGCAGCCGGATGGCTGAAACTGGCCAGCATGCTAATTTCAGGACAAAGGGAGTGGGGGGTGAAGCCTGCCCTTGTGCTTCCCCTACAAAATGCCCATAACCCTCCAAGTCCAGGGTCTTCTAGGTATCCCTACTGGACAGTCTTCGCATCTCACTGGCAAGAATACAAAACCACCCAGACAAGTAAGTTGGGAGCCTTCCCAAATCCGGTGCCCTCCACAGGTTCCAACTCCCATCTGCCTCAGCCGGCAAGGCCAACAGTCAAACATTCTGGGAGATGTCGTTCAAATCATCTGGAGAACAAGACTGAGAAAGGCCTGCTCTGTTATTAAGCATCAGGGACAAAAAAGCGCGCTGAGTGTCCTTAACTCAACTTGTGCTGCAATGACGGAGCCATCAGCTGGGCAACTTTGGGTCCCGGTCTGGCAAGTTTTATCCAGAGGTTTGTACAAGTTTCTATGCAGACGGGGGCTTCTAAAAACACCCAACAGCTGAGTACTGAGAGCAAAGCTGACGGAGCAAAATGTTTTGTGAGATAATTGATGGATAACCCCCAGACAGCAAATAAACCCAGAACAAAATCCAGAACCTAGGAACTGATCTAAGGCAACCAATATATTCCCTAAATTTATCTCAAGGATGTTTGGAATCCAAGACAAATGAAGAGTTCTGTCATTAGAACACCAGTGGGGCTTTCAGCTACAAGAAGGGCATCATCAAATCCCCACACGCCTCGTGTTTCCAATTGTGTGGGGCTAAAATGGCAGAGAGTCTGTGCCCAACTTTGGGGTGAGATTGTGGGGGGCACCATACCTTTTCCTTTCCTTTTAAAAACCAAACAGAGTTATTTGCATTCATTCCAGTTTGCGCATCTATGAGAGTGTGTACATTTCTTTCCACATAGTAGCAGAACCAGCTTACTCCTCATTCTCATTCGCATCATGGCTATCTCTTGCTTGCCCAATAGCCTTAAAACCAGTGAGCATGCAGGCTGCAGCATTTTCTGCCCCTCCTGTTCACCACCACCGTTGCCTGGGCCAAGGCTAGACACAGGTGAACTAACAGGTTGCAATGAGGAAGAGGAGCAGGAGGTCCTGAGGACTCTCATCAGTGGGCCAGAGCTGGGCTGAGGGCCTCAGTAGGTGCCCCAACATGCCAACCCTTGGTGCCAGTCCTGGGTGGTAGTGGCACCCTATTCTCCCAACACAACAAGACGTGCTCTAGAACTGTGCTGATTCTTCCTGGCTTGGAAGGACAAGGGAGGGGGCTCAGCTGGATGTTGCGGTACAAAATCCCATGCAACTTCCTGCCTCATTTTTGTGGCTCTATTTTCAGTTTTCCAACTGAGCACCGAACTGCAAAACAAGAACAGAGGGAAGGTGTTGCCTGAGCTGTTTTATGCTCTACATTATTTGCAGCAAAGCTCCGTACAGCGAGAACATCTATGGTACACATTTAAGCTGGTTTAACTCTCCCAGTGGAACCCTGAGAATTTCATTTCTGGGAGGAGTGTCTTGAGATCTTCAAAGAATGGTTCACATCCTCAGTAATCAAATTACAGATTCATGTGGCTACAGATAGAAAGCCATCTAAAACTAATCTAAACTTGGGGTGTAGATACACTCAGGATGTTCTCCAGCTGCTGCTTCTTTCTAAAAGACCAAAAGACTGGGAGGAAAACCAGCCACCCAGCAGCCATATTCATTCTTGCCTCTAACTCCTGGTCCAACTGAAAGGCTTCTTACCAGGGTTCTATACGGACTTGTTGATCCAATAAAAGGTTTGAAGACACCTGTGCTCTTATTCTTATGGCTCCTGAGCAGATAATAAAACTCAGATACAAACAAGTCCACACCCCAACTAAAATTACTTTATTCCAAAATATAAAGTGACTGTCCAAATGATTCTATTTTAATATATCTATAACTTTCTCAGAAGAAGTCCTTCCTTACCCCAGTAATTGTCAACATACGCAAGACTGCGCGCGTATATGGGTGTGTGTGGGCGGGGGGGGGGGGCAGAGAGTGGGGTGGACAGGGGAGGAGGAAAGCCAAGGACTTGAATAAGCCCTGGCAAAGTCTGGTAACAAATTTTTGATTATGAAAGGCTCTCTGCTGATGGGGACGAATGGAAAATGCAAGGAAAAAGTACATAAAGGTCTAGGAAGTGGAGCTGCCAGAAGAAACATTCCAAAACATGGCTCTTTAAGTGCTATGGAACTTGCACTGGGGGGACTGCGACTTTCTACTCTTTCCTGGCCATGTGAGCTGCTCCAGCCAGCTCCGGCTAGCAGAAATGTCCTGAAATCAGAGATGTCTGACATCTATACCTGCTGCAGGGGCATCAGGAGATTTATTTTTAAACAAGAGGAGCAAAGTGACCCAAGAAACATATTTCCCACTTTGGCATGGAGACGGAATGCTAAGCTTGTCTCTTGGATGACGGTTCCTTATTTTAAGTAGGCTCAATAGCTTTCCTCCCCGCTCCCCACATCCCTTTCTGTGGTCTGTCCTCGTGAAGACTTCTGCTTTAGTTACCTTTGCTTGTAGCTCGGGGACCTTTTTGTGGCTTCCTCCCCCACCCCAATTTAATCTACCAATTTCCCAGTTTCTCAACCTCCAGTAATTCCACTGCCAAGAAACCAGATCCCTTCCTCTCCTGCGTATTTTCCTGCGGTTCGCATCCTCATTTGTTAAATGCATTATGACAAGTTATTTACCTTGGCCCACTGACTTGGGAATTGTGGTT